GATGGAGGATCTCCGTTTGCGTTCAATTTGTACCATAGACTAATAGAGTTTCGCATGCCTGACGCGCAGCAAATTGAAATTCTCCCTCATCCCGAGGAGGTACCGTCCCGTCAAGCGTGGCTAATCAAGGCACCAAAAGGTGAGGTTTCCAATCGTTAAATCATCATATATATCGTGCATTCGTAAGTGTTTTGTTAATATTTTTCGTTAAAATGTATTCTTGTGTTAAAATCTTATCGAGATAGTGTTTTAATATCAAAATATACGTGTAAAAACATTGGGACGCGTTACAATTTAGTGCAGCAGTGTTGATTGCAGAGCGTTTCATTTTTTTGTGCTTAAACCTGTGGTAACATTACGTATGATGCTTATAAAGTGTATTATTTTAGGAAAATGAGCAGCTCCGAGGAGGTATCATGGATTTCATGGTTTTGCGGGTTGCGAGGTAACGAGTTCTTTTGCGAGGTGAGTGTCTTTTGATTCAATGTACTTTCGTTATGTTTTCAGTTTATATTGGTTCGATTTCAACTTTCAGGTGGACGAAGATTATATAAATGATAAATTTAACCTGACGGGGCTAAACGAACAAGTACCACACTACAGACAGGCCTTAGACATGATTTTAGATTTAGAACCTGGTAAGTATGCGCCATAGATAATATCGATGACATTAAGATCTATTAAAATTAGATAATTTCATTAGAAACAGATTTGTATTTCAGTGAAGGACATTTTTTTTTTGTTAACAAAATATTGTTAAGAATTTTCCAAACACTATAGATGTGATAGGTGTCTTAACAATGTGATTTACTATATTCTTTTAAAATTCAATATTGGAAGGTAAAAAGAATCAATATAAACACATCTTGAATGAGGCTCAATCTGTAACACATTCAGAGACAATGTCTCGTCTCCCCGTTTCAATTTAGTAGCTGCTAATTGTAGTGGCATTCAATTGATTAGAATGATTCATGCTGTTTCTTGCCATATCCATTAATAAAATTTGACATCATTACAATGCTAATTACAATAAAGTTATACTTTTTGTATTATTTTTTTAGATGATGACTTGGATGACAACCCAAACCAATCAGATCTTGTTGAGCAAGCATCTGAGATACTGTATGGGTTGATACATGCTCGTTATATTTTAACAAACAGGTAATGTTCAATTTATTTAACTTCATGACTTTATTTGCCATACTTACAAGTTGTTTAATTGCTTACTTAAATATTCACTTAGTGCAGCTTTATGTTTGTCAAAACAGTAGCAGTATCATGCACTTATTTTTATATCAAATTTCCAATTCATATTTTTACTTGCAAAAAAAAATTACATGTTACCATATTTACGGAGTATTTTTGTGTACAGAGGAATTGGACAAATGCTAGAGAAATTCCAAGCGGGAGACTTTGGTCACTGCCCTCGTGTCTACTGTGAATGTCAAGCAATGCTACCACTGGGTAAATATACTTTTACATCTGAACCCAATAATCTTGATGCATTTTTGTTTATTTGTAAACCAGTTGCTTCTAAATAACAATGAAAACTTCCATTAACATTGTAGGACTATCTGATGTCCCGGGCGAGGCTATGGTGAAACTATACTGTCCTCGCTGCATGGATGTGTACACTCCCAAGTCTTCCCGCCATCACCATACTGACGGTGCATATTTCGGGACCGGTTTCCCGCACATGGTCTTCATGGTGCACCCTGAGTACCGACCTAAGCGCCCTGCCTCACAGTTCGTGCCCAGGTTAGTCATCATATTTATTTACAAGCTATTACTCAAAATTAAATTTAAGTTCTTTAATTGTGTTAATTAAAAAGTACTATTGAATCAAGATAAGCAAGAGTCCAAGTGTGTGATATTTTTCTTGCCTATAGGAGTTTGTTTCCAAACAAGCTTTTTGCTTATGGAGGGCAACTGCCGCAATATCTTAGAGAAATTACTTATCCAGGTTTTAAAATGAATCATACTTTTTCAAGAATATTATGTTTAAGTTACTTAATGTTATGTTGTACCTATATGTTAAAAAAGAAAACAAAAGTGGATATAGCTAAATAACAACCATAGAAAATCTTGTACAGGAGTTAATAAATATTTTAATTATTTCTTTTTCTCCTTGTAGATTGTACGGTTTCAAGATCCACCCGCTCGCTTACCAGATCCAACAACAGGCGGCGGCCAACTTCAAGGCACCGCTGCGGAATCTCTCGTACAACAACGGTAAACGCTAGGGCCGCGCCCCCGCGCGCGACCACGCGCCCTCAACTGCACAGTGATACAGATGCTCCCAATACATAACAAATACAGTGTGGACAAACTTTACATGGCCAATGTACAACTACCAAGTAAATGGGATCAAATTTATTAACAACTAATTACATATTAATAATTCTTTAAAACTTGATAAATCCTGCACTTGAGTAAGTCTTAAATTAAATGTGATAGTGACTCATAAACTTTAGCATGTCATTTAATGTGTTTTTAAGACATTCCAGACAAACCGCGCCATATTTAGTACATTGAATTTTGCGTGCATCTGTGTTAGTCATACGGCAAGTCTTGGCCATGTAAGGTAGTTAAATATATTCACAATACCGCCTTAAACCTGTCCACTCTGTTACTCCTTTATAACAATTAAATTGTTTTTAATCAATTTAAATAACAAAGTAACACCTATCTCTTATTTAATCATCATTGTAGTTCATTGTACTCTGTCTTCAGATTAGTTGAAATAAAATTTACATACAACTGATATGTAGGGAGAATCTGTATCAAAAAAAATATTAATATTATAGCAGTTAATACTGTGGCGAGGACAACTAATAAAATGGGACATAAATGTTAGTGAGTCGTCATAGTTATGTAAAGGTTTCACAACAGACATAGCTAAAATGTTTAATCATACTTAGTATAAAATAGCCAAGTACTGATTTAGATAATATCCATTGCTATCTTGTATAGTTAATCAACAAACATTGCTACCTAAAATTCATTTACACAATTCCAAACATTTTAATTAAAGTAGCCTACCACAAATGGTTCAATACATCTTTATAGTTTTTTAATCTGTGTTTAACTACTGTTAAATGGGGCAATGGTAAATTCAAGCGTTACATTTGTAGTTTATATTTATAAAATCGCAACTAAGCTAGGCTCTTGTAAGTTTTTATTTTTATATCCGATAACATAAATGGTCCTTTAACATTTGCGCATTTGTCTTGAAGACTTTTTCCATTATTGTATCGGTTCCAGTAATTATAAATAAATATTATGAAAACTATTGGCCTTTTTTTCTTGCTTATCCTGCATGTTAACCATGTGTTCTTCCTGTTCAAAGCAAAATAACAAAGTTGTGTTCGGCGATTGTTGAAATTTTAATGAAAATTATAATTGCAACAAAATAATTTAAATGTGCTTTAGCTTTATTAATTAGTTTAATCAGTTTAGAAATCATAATAATTAGCTAGTTGCTATATGTTAAATAAAGTAGCTAATATACTAGCAACCTTATGACAAAGAGGTTTTAATTATGTAGAAACATAATTATTAGCTTTTAAATACATAGAAACATAAGTCATACTGATGAAAATATAACCTAAAATCAATTTAAAAGCTAGACTTCACAATAACACTTAGCACATAAATATATAAATCACAGTTATAAATTACTACATAATCATTTAGACCAAATAAAAACTAAAATTTTAATTGAAGACATTTGTTTGTGACAGAGACGAAGACTTCCAGTAACATTCCAAAATGATCATAGCCAGCATTGCGCCGCGCACAGGCCGCGGAGGCGAGTACTCACCATGGCCGCCTCAACCTACTGACTACTACTGACCAGTAACTTATAAACTAATTATAATATTTATTGAAATAACTAATTTACTCCTTATTTATCTAAACAGTTGTGTTTTTATTTCAAATAAAGTTTATTTTTACGTTTTATGTATTTAATTTTTTTTTTAAAGAAATAGCACCTCTTTTGTTTGTTTACAATCAAATATTTAACCAAATTACCAGTTTCTGATGTTCATATAGCAAGAAATCTACATAATTCTCTGACTAGGTCTACATTTTTAATTTCATCAAAGAAAGTGCTGTCTAAGATACAATTATACTTCTTAATAAATTTTAATGCTTCCATTTTGAGATGATTGGCATTATACATATCAGATAATACAAGAATTTCCAGTGCACTGTCATGTGTTAGTTGATAACATAATGCATGCTGAGTTATTTCTTTAAGACCATTTAAATTAAATCTATCAGCCAACATAAGTAGATTATAACAGTTCTTGCTTTCTAAATCTTTCACTGTTCCTGAGTAAATGAACTCCAATATGCATTGAAGATCTTCTTTACCAACATCAACAAGTTTTACATAACTATTCTGAGACTCTGCTGTCTCCTCTTTGAGCATAGCTTTGAAAACTTCACTTTGTCCAGCTAAAAGAAGTTTATGGACTGGAAACTTTTCACCATCCAATGATTCTATTGTGAAATCAGCTCCTACTGGATCATTTAATAAATCACCAAAATCCATGGTACTGGAATTTATATCTATTCTTTGAGAATTTTTAAATGTTATGGCTATATACAATGTCTTGTCTTTAAGACACTCAACATCGAGTTCATTAAAACTATAAGTTGTTACAAATCCAGTGCTGGCTTCCCGCTCTCCTACTCTAAGTACTTGAAAATTTGTCATACTTTTGTCCAGATATACATTGCTAGTCTTCTTATCAAATGTCATTTCATTACTGTTGCTTACAGTGACATTTATTGACCCTTCTTGAGGGCTTGAGACAAACAGTTGTAAAAGAAAAATATTCCCAACTTGACTTGTCGTATATATGAACCTATGGTCTGGAATATCTGCAATATAGGTGCAACCAATGTCGTAGAAATTAGGTCTATGAAACTTATGATAGATATCTTCAAGACAAAGCCACTTTGCATTGACGGTTTGACAACAGTTGTCGATGTTGTAAGTTACTATACTCCCATCACACTGTTTTATAAAACAACAAATATATTATTTACTGGGAAGGCATTGCATAATATAATGATAACTTACGAAATTCTTACCTCCATCTTATTTTTAGTAATTACGAAACGACAGTACAACTTGTGCTTTTACCCTAATAATTAAAATTATTCCCTATTGGGTAATAATAGGGAGGGTAAATACAAATAAATAGGTATAATTTAAACGTCACAAAACTTCTTTCTACTCTAAACATCAGTTTTAGATGTCACTGTCACTCAATTAATCAATGTGAAGTGACAAATATGTCAATTATTAATTATTTTGATTTTAGGATTAGGACAGAGTAGACCTAGGCGAAATGCCAGGTAGTAGTCAGTGAAGATAAAAATATAAATTGCTAGTTGAAGTTATTTTAAGTGTAGAATGTTATTTGTGTTTAACTGTCGAAAAAAACCTTTACATTGCTTGCATTGGTTTCACCAGCTTTTTTTTGGCTTATGTTAATATTTTCATGGAAAAGAACTTGATAATGGCAACTTTGTTAATGTCAAGATGACATTTCACAGAAATATAGTTTTATTTTCCTGTGCATGGATTTCGATTGTTTTTAGAATTTTTTCCTTTCACTATTAGGTTTTGTTACTTTGAATCTTTTCCTAATGCTATGACAAACATTGAGGCTTTAAGCCTCTATCAAAATGGTTTTAAACGCCGCTGTACAAATGTTGAGGTACGCAAAGAAACCTTATAAAAGATATTTACATCATCACTATAACCCTAATTTTGCAGTTTTCTCACAATATTTGTCTAATTCCAAGTAATAACTTAAGGTCTTTGAACAAACAATGGTCGTTGTTTTGTAATTCCTGAATTACTTTACATTTTTTCCATTTCAGAGAGGCTGATGAATTAAAACAGAAGATTTTAAAATTTAGTAGTGGAACGTCAATGCTCCAAGATCGCAGCCTTTGGACAACACAACAACAATTGCAAAATGTCTGTACATCCTTTAAAATACATTACTTGTTATTGCTACAATCAAAAATATAACATTTTAATTTTTAGGTTTATCAAAAAATTTTAATGCTAGACTTAGATTATGCCTTGGATAAGAAAGTTGAGCAAGATCTCTGGAATGTTGGTTTTAAACAACAGATTGAAGCATTACAATCTATATCAAAAGACAGAAAGGTAAGAGTACTTAGCTAATTTTAGAGTATCCTTAGCTACTTAACTAAGGATACCCTAAAATTACCTAAATTAGTTTCAAATGTGCTTGTTTTCGTACCAAAATCATATTTTTTTTTAGAATCCCCTTCGCAGTGAAGGCCAGGCAATGCTGTCATGGGTCTTACAAGCTGCAGCTGGTTTCTACCTCTGTCTACTCCATCAGATTTGTGCAACTTTTAAACTGGATTTACCATTTAGGTTTGTATATGTTTTAATTCTTTCATTAGTATATTTGCAGATCCCAAGAATGTATTGATTTCAGAGGTTTAACATTTAATACTTGAAAAAATATGTATTTTGTAGAAGACGTGCATCATTACTCGGGTCTGTAGAAGCATGGGGCCCGGGTGCATCTGCAGCGCCTGCAGCCGCGCGCTATGCAAGTCAGCACTGCCTTGTACACCTCGGGGATTTGGCTCGCTACCGTCAGCAGTTACGTGTCGCACATACGTTCTATCGACATGCGCTCGCCGTGTCCCCACATTCTGGTCAGCCATATAACCAACTTGCATTGGTAGCCTGGCGTCGCGGGAGACGACTGGCTGCTGTGTATTGGCATGTGCGGTCATTACTCGTAAGAGCACCCTTCCCGCCCGCGCCTGTTAATTTAGCGCGAACTCTTGAGGCTGCTAGGTAAGTGCTTTTGTCAATTGTGCATAACGACTTGATAATTGAGATACAAAGCTAGCTTTAAATATTTAATGTAACATTGTAGCCGCGATATGAAGGAAGGACCACCGCTGCCCGTGCTGCCAGGGCTCACCAACAATGTGTCCCACATACCTGAAAGCAGGACAGAGAGATTGGATGCACACTCTTATGTCACTGAGCTCATCCGAGCTATTAACTACATTCACACTGTTGAACAGTTAGTATGCTAAATATTTAGTACATTTTTTCTCTTACAATTGGTCTAACATCTTTTTAAATATTCATTTAATTTTTTTTAGTTAAGAGTTTGACTCATTTTCAGATTAGATGCGGCAACAACTCTAGTGAATACTTTGAATACATCACTAACACCTCTGATCGCAACTGACAGCTTTGAGTCTATGACTCTTGTAAAGGTTAGTCTTGAAAAAAATACAACAAACTAAAATATGTCTATAAAAGAAATACAGAATATTTCCACACAAAACAATATAGTTTTATCCAATAACTAGAATTTAAATGAAATAAAGTAAATATGTATTATGACAGATGTCGTGTGTGCTGATCTGGCTGGTGCAGTCATCGAGCGAGGATCTGAGCTCGGAGAGTGCGTTGAGTGAGGACGAGGCGGTTGCGGCGCGGCTGGCAGCCTCGCTGGCCGCCAACGCCATGCTGGCCTTGCTGCTGCCCGCCTACACATCGCCTGAGCCACCCAAGAAGGCACTGCCAGCTTGTGAGTGTTTATATTAAAACTACTTTTTAATGTTTCTTATGATTATGATTTTTTTTTTGAATAGACTAATAATAAATACGATGAATGTGGCAGAGTGCGTCAGATAGTGTACAAAAGTTAATAGTGAGCATTGTGTGTTATGTAGTAAAGGTGTGGCTGCAGTGGGCGGCGGCTGGGCGGGG